CACCCTCATTGAGCCCTGGGTAAAGCTGACCATAGAGGGCCAGGAAATTAATCTCTTGGACCCTGGCATGGCCTTCTCAGTATTACTCTTCTGTCCTGAACAGTCTGTAACTGTCTGAGGGGTCCTAGGACAAGCAGTCTCCTGATATTTCTCTAAGCCCCTAGGAGATGCATTAGGGATAGCCCTTTCTTACTAATGATTTTGTATTAGACAAGGAAACAGATCTAATAAAAGATACAACCTCCTTGGCTAAGCACCAACAGGCCCCAGTGTCCCAACAGCAGTTGGGCTTTCCTGTTTAGAGTGGGGATCGAGAAAATGTATTCTCTTCCTGGGTCCACAAGGGGCACAGTTTCAGAGGAAGAACTTCCCAGCTCCATACCTCCACCATGTCTCCATCCAGGGTCTTAGAGGTCTTTGTTTAACTTTCACATGTGTGGGAAAAAAAATCAAAAGATCAGTCACTCCAGTGGAAGTTTAAAGGAACTCTTTTCACAGGCCAGGAAACTTAAATGGGGTGGGAATTTCTCCCAGGTTATAAATCCCTGTCCCCCACATCTGGGCGGACTTCATATCTGGATCCCCTTCCACAGTCTCGTGGAAGCTCTTTTTCATTCTCCTTTTTCTCTCTCTCTGCCTAAATAAATCACTTTCTGCGAAACTCTTTGGGGTCTGATATTTACTTACTAGTGCACTGTGCCCGGCGGGGTCCTCTCTCCCATTCTTTGTTGAGTGAGGGACCAAGAGCCTGGAAGAACACATCATAGCGGGGAGCTGAGCCTCCCCCATGCCCCGGAACCCAGTCACAGGATCTAATTAAACTTAAAAGCTTCTGCACAGCAAAAGAAACTATCAATAGATTGAACTGGCAACCAACAGAATGGGAAAAAATTTTTGCAACCTACCCATCTGACAAAGGGCTAATACCCAGAATCTATGGAGAATCTTAAATTTACAAGAAAAAAAAACCATCAAAAATTGGGCAAAGAATATGAACAGACACTTTTTTTTTTTTTTTGAGACAGAGTTTCGCTCTTGTTACCCAGGCTGGTGTGCAATGGCGAGATCTCGGCTCACCGCAACCTCCGTCTCCTGGGTTAAGGCAATTCTCCTGCCTCGGCCTCCCGAGTAGCTGGGATTACAGGCACGCGCCACCATGCCCAGCTAATTTTTTTATTTTCAGTAGAGACAGAATTTCAGCATATTGACCAGGATTGTCTTGATCTCTTGACCTCGTGATCCACCTGCCTTGGCCTCCCAAAATGCTGGGATTACAGGCTTGAGCCACTGCGCCCGGCTGAACAGACACTTTATGCAGCCAATGAACATGAAAAAAAGCTCATCATCACTGGTCATTAGAGAAATGCAAATCAAAACCACATTGAGATACCACATCACACCAGGTAGAATGATGATCATTAAAAACTCAGGAGACAACAGATGCTGAAGAGGATGTGGAGCAATAGGAATGCTTTTACACTGTTGGTGGGAGTGTAAATTAGTTCAACCATTGTGGAAGACAGTGTGGCAATTCCTTAAGAATCTAGAAATAGAAATACCATTTGACCCAGCAATCCCATTGCTGGCTATATACCCAAAGGATTATAAATCATTCTCTTATAAAGACAAATGCACATGTATATTTACTGCAGCACTATTCACAAGAGCAAAGACTTGGAACCAACCCAAATGTCCATCAATGATATACTAGATAAAAAAATGTGGCACATATGCACCATGGAATATGATGCAGCCATAAAACAGGATGAGTTCAAGTCCTGTGTAGGGACATGGATGAAACTAGAAACCATCATTCTCAGCAAACTGACATAAGAACAGAAAACCAAACACTGCATGTTCTCATAAGTGGGTGTTGAACAATGAGAGCACAGGAACACAAGGAGGGGAACATCACTCACTGGGTCCTGGGGGGTGGGATGCTAGAGGAGTTATAGCAGGGGACGGGGGGTTTGGGGAGGGATAGCAGTAGGAGAATTACCTAAGGTAGATCATGGGGCAATGGTTGCAGCAATCCACCATCATGGTATGTGTATACCTATGTAACAAACCTGTACAATCATGTACCCCAGAACTTAGAAGTATAATAAATAAATTTTAAAAAATTGTATGGAACTAGATTTATATGTGGAAACCATAAAGACAAACAAGGGAATAGTTAAGACAAAATTTAAGACTGATAGTAAATAGAAGAAGAATGTAACTGAGGAGGGGGACCCCGGGGAATTCAAAGGTACTGGTAATGTTAATGGTTTTCTCTCAATGGTGGGATGAAAGTGATTTTTATTTTTTTATTTTTTGGCTTTCCATATTGTCAGAAATGTAGAGAAACCCCTACATGACATCACCTCTCTGAAATACATGTATGTGTGGCTTTCAGAGAGGTGATGTCATGTAGGGGTTTCTCTAGAGTTGTGGTTATTAACTAGGAATGACTTTTTACTATCCTCCTCCCTGCAGGAGACATTTGGCAATGTCTGGAGAATTTTTGGGTTGTCTTGACTGCGTGGGGAAACTACCAGCATTCAGTAGACAGAGGCCAGGGATTGCTGCTAAACATTCTACAATGCACAGGATGGCCCAACAGCAAAGAATTATATGGCCGAAAATGTCAACAGCACCAAGGTTCAGAAACCCTGGTCTAAGAGACAGACTGTTTGGGTTTGAATTCCAGCTTTATACTTTACAAGCTGTGAGACTATGGGAAATTACTTAATCTCTGGGTCTCAGTTTCATAGTTTATATGAGGCTAACAGTAGCATCTGTTTCATAGGTTTGTTGTGAGAATTAACTGAATTAAAACATAAGGTACTGAGTCCAGAACCAGATAAATGAGTACTTGATAAATGCTAACAATATTTTATTATTGTTTTTGTTGAATATATTCAATTGGTTGAGAAAAAAAGTTGAAAAAGAGCTGATCAAGAGAAATACGTTGAAAAATAGTTATTACAGCAATAGAAAATTATGCAAAGACATGCATATGCACAAACACTAAAATGCAGCATGTGGAAATTTCAAATGAGAAGAGCTTTACAAGCAATAATTACAGTCTGTTATAATCCGTATCTTATCTGTACTTAATGGCAATTTCTAAACAAGAAGCCAGAGAACTGAACATAAAGTGTGTATTAATTAGTGCTAGTCTGAATTTAAGCTATATTAGTAACTGAACTCAAAGTCTTGTGACAGATTAAATTACAAAAATCATTCTACACTTTAGTACACAAACTGGTCTTTCCCTTATTCTCTATAAAAACCCAGAAAGATCCTTGAGAAGTCAGTTTCTTGATTAAATTTCATGTACACTTGTGTATTCCAGTGGATGTGTCTGTAAAGTTTTGACAGGATACTGTATTTTTGTTTGTATGTTTATTTTGAGACAAGGTCTCACTCTGTTGCTTAGGGTGGGGTGCAGTGGTGTGATCTCAGCTCACTACAGTCTCCAGCTTCTGGGCTCAAGTGATCTTTCCGTCTTAGTCTCCTGATTGGCTGTGACTACAGGTGCACCTTTTTTTATTTTTAGTAGAGATGGGGGTTTTGCCATGTTGCCCAGGCTGGTCTTGAACTGCTGGGCTTAATGCAATCCACCTGCCTTGGCTTCACAAAGTGTTGGGTGTGAGCCACTGCACCTGACCAGGATGTTATTATTTTTTTTAAAGAACTATTCTAAAAATATAAGCTATTTAAAATATGTACAATTTATGGTAAAGTTTCTTGAAGCTTTAGTGAATTTTTAAATTAAATTTTTAGGCATGTATAGTCAACTGTATTTTCAAGCAAATAAAAATCTTTATTTTTAATACAGGTATGTCCAGAAAGAAGTAGATTGAAGCAGTGATACTGATTTTTACTATCATTAGTATAGTTCCATATAGTTAGCAAAGTCCTACACATTCATGTTCACAAAAGAGCTTCATAAAAATCCCATGGAGTGTGTGGAATTATCTCTATTTTAGAGATGAAGAAGTTGAGGCTCAGAGAGATGAAATGATTTGCCCAAAGTTATAAAGCTAGTAACTGTGGGACTACCATTCAGACTGAAGTCTCAAAATAAATCCTAGCCTTTCTGAAATTGGTATAACAGGATATTGCTGTTTATTCTCAAAATGAACTGCGATGCAATGTCAGGGTCAGACACAGACAGGGGTTCAGAACTACTTGCCAGATGTGATATTTTATATGCATTATTTATAAAAATTATATGTAAGTAAAATAGATTGGATAATTTCATCATTATTATACAGCTTTGATTTTTAAATAATTTATTTTGAATAATTTCAAACATATACCAAAGGGAGAATGACATGTGTAAACTGCTATATTATGCACTACCCAGTTTTATCAATTATCAACTCCTGGCTACTCTTTTTTTTTTTTTCTTCTCTGACAGTCTTGCTCTGTTGCCCAGGCTGGAGTGCATAGCACAACCTTGGCTCACTGCAACCTCTGCTTCTGGGGTTCAAGCAGTTCTCAGGCCTCAGTCTCCTGAGTGCTGGGATTACAGACACAACCACCACGTCTGGCTAATTTTTAAATTTTTAGCAGAGATGGAGTTTTGCCATGTTGGCCAGGCTGGTCTCAAACTCCTGACCTCAAGTGATCTGCCTGCCTCAGCCTCTCAAAGGGCTGGGATTACAGGTGTAAGCCTGGCCAACTCCTTGTTACTCTTAATTCACCTATATCCCTTCTTCCCCCTACTGAATCATTTTGAGTCAACTTCAAGATATGTAATTTCATTTGTACATATTATGCACAATTTTATTTTTAAATAGCTTTTAAATAATATTTACAACTTGGGTATACTGAAAAGCTGAATGGCTTTTTAGAAGCTATTAGTGTAGTTAATGTAGACCAATTAATGTAATGTAGTCCAGTTAATGTAGACCAACAGATAGCATTTCTTGAGTTCAAAATAATCACAAACATTATGCTTTTCTCTTCGAATTTAAATGTCTATTATTAAACAGAAAGTGTTTTACCTGTTCTCTGCAGTCTTCACCCAGTTCTCTTTCTAAAATAAAAGATTACAACAATTATCTTTAAAATCTAATAAAGGACCTTAATAAATATTGTTTATAAAACTAAAAACAGAAATGCTTAAAATAATAACAAATAAATTAAAATGCTGAAAACTGTAGAGAAATCAAAAGCCAAACCTTAACATAGTATGAAAGTACCCATTATTTTCACACATACATGTATGGCTAATACATGTACCGAAATCAAATTAGTAGCTATGCCTATATAGTTCCTTTTGTTCTTAAAGTGATGCCTTAAACTAGCAAGGCAAGTAAGTTTCAACTAAATGCCAGTTCTGGTTGATTAATGGTGGTTACCCAGGGAACTGTGTTGAAGTTTTATGAGGCCATTTTCTTTTTTTTTTTTGGCTCAATAGGAAAGAAAGCTATAATTGATTAAGTGTTATACCTGCTGACCTTTGCTCAGTGCATCAAAATGATGCTTTAAAAGGAGGCATCCTTATATAACTTTATATGCTGAGGAGAAAGAACTGTCATTACTGCCACAATCTAATTTCTCATTATTGATGAATATTAACGAGCAGGCATTCATTCTCAAATATAAGAAATTACATATTCTCATTTTGAAACAAGGAATTTGGTATAATTTGTGGTGTTTATAAATTCCAATTATGTTTTTCATCCCTTATAGCACTTAGTGTGTACATACACCACACATTTGGTACTAGGCTTATATCATTTATTTAGATTATCTTCCTAGGTAGATTATATGTTTACTGAAGGCTTTTGGTGGTATCTTAGTCTTCCTTGTCCTAGCACCAGCTAATGCCTTGATGATAATTGTATTTCTGTATATACACATGTTACTTGCCTGTCATTATCTCTAAGTTACTTGCTATTTAAGAGTATTTCTGTATAGTCTGGGATGTTTTACTACTGAGAATTAGGTATTTTAAAACGATTAATGGCCAAAGAATTGCTTTAATTGTTTATTCACCTGCCTGTCCTGTATAAGAATCATTCTATTTAAGTTTTTATTTCATAGGTGAGGATAAGTGAAAAGGTGAAGTAACAGTATTTTAGATTAGAGTTAGGACTATATAGGCTTTTGACTTCAGTTTACGAAAACAAAAACAGTGTTCACTATATGCTTGGAACTATGTGATACTTCTTAAAAACTCATTTTCTTTCCTAACCACCTTTCTCAGATGCTGAAGTTACTCTCATGTATTTCCTTCCCTAGACACTCCAGAAGAAAAATTCCATTTAAAGACTGTTAACTCTACTTGCCTCTATTGTCTTTCTTTTTCGGTATTTCTGTTTCTTCAAAATTTTGCATTTCAGAGTCTCAAAGACAATATAGCTGAGTTAACCCGTTCTCAGAGGGAAAGGTAAAAAAATGAGTTGCCCAAGTTAGATTCATTTTTAGGGGATAGTGAGAAGGGAACATAGAATACTCAAATGTTTACTACTTTTGTCCCCTCACAGTTATCTATATATTATTTGTGTTTTCTATCTCTGCAATTTCTTCTGCATATTGAAAATTGACTTATCTTTGAAGGCCACCTGTTCAGCTGGACATCTTGGCTGGGAGTGATTGCTCTGTTATTGTGTCTTGCTTTCTTTTTTGGTATCACTTTTAGGGAGTATGTTACATGGCTACTTTGTGTTACAGTATTTACTATACATAGTATATACTATAGTATATACTAGCAGGATTGAGAGCTAATTACAAATGCAGAGCCATAGGCTCCAGCCCAGATCCACTTAATCAGAATAAACTTTTTAACAAGATCCCCAAATTTATATTTACTTGTATGAACAATGAAATTGAGTCTTTTTAATAATCAGGCAACTTGGTATTTTATGTCAACCACAAGCTGTTTTATAACATACCCACTAGAAATTCTTAGGAGTCTCTTATTTTTATTAATTAACTGAAACTTCTTGCAAGCTGTAACATAGTTTTTCTGTTATACTTTGAATACTTGGGTGTTTTGAATGCCATTACCTTCTGCATTATAGGTATTAGTCATCAAAGATCCAGAACAGATGTCTTTTTCAAGTTCATTTCTTCTGTCCATTACTTGTCTGCAATATATGGGATTTTTTAATTGGAAAAAGGATTAAAAAAGAAAATTTTAATGTTAGGTATGTTATAAATTTTAAAGTATTAAAATAATTTCAAATTTCTGAGTTTTAAAAAAATGTAATTAAAAAATTTCTCTAAAAACTTTCAACACTATAGTAATAATTTAAATACTATTATATTTAAAAATACAGAATGCCACTTTAAATTTTTCCACCATTAAATATTTTACAAGACATTTCAAAGAACAACTAAACTAAACTTTAAGTACAAATAATGTATTTTACATATGAAGTTTTAAGAGAAACAATCATGGAAACCAAATGTGATGCTCTGAACTCATGGTTATTACAAAATTAAAATGAATTATAAAGTTTTATAAACTTTTAAAAGTAATTCACTTTTGGTGTAGAAAATCCCCCCAAAACATAGAAATGGAATAATATAAATATCCAGAGCTGTTCTCTGGATATTTAGCTCCTCTACTTATTATTATGCATCTTTTAAAAAATAAAACTGAGATACTACTGTCTTGTGAAATTTTATGTCATCATCTTTCACTTACATATTTTTTATTTTAAAATGTGTAGTTTAAATTATATGTTAAAATTGACTTTGTTAAGGTATAGCATTTTATGAATTTTAACAGATATTTAGATTCTTGTTATTACCATTATAAACAGAATATAGAACAGTTTCATCATGCCAAAAAAACCTCCCTTACATGCTTCAGTCACACCCCCTCAACCTATATAACCTGGCAACCACAGAAATCTCCATAACTATAGGTTTGACTTTAAAAATGTCATATAATTGGAATTATACCATATAAACTTTTGTTACTGGATTCTGTCATACAGTATAATGCCCTGATATTCATCCAAGTTGTTAAATATGTATCAATGGTTCACTACTTTTTATTGCTGAGCAGTATTCCATTACAAATGTGTGTAGCAGTTTATTCACCTGTTGAAGGGTATTTTTCTCAGTTTTTGAAAATTATGAATAAAACCGCTATAAGCATTTATGTACAGGTTTTTGTGTAAACATGTTTTCACTTCTTTAGTGTAAATACTTAAAGAGATTATTGAATCATATGGTAAATACATGTTTAACTTTATAAGAAACTGTGAAACTGTTTCCCAGAAGAGCTGTACCATTTTGTACTGCATCTCATGCAACAATGAATGAGAGTTGAGTTACTTTGCCCCATCCTTACCAGCACTTGGAATTGTCAGTAAGTTTTTTTTAATTATAGACATTCTAATAGGTATACAGAGGTATTTCATCATGGTTTTAATTTCCCAAATAGCTAATGATATGAAATCTGTTTGTTTGCTATTCATATATCTCCTTACTGAAATGTCTGTCCAAGTCTTTAGACCATTGTAATTGGGCTATTTGTTTTTACACTGTTGAGCTTTGAGAGTTCTTTATATATTCTGGATACAACTCCTTTGTTGGATATGTGACTTGAAAATATTTGCTCCCATGTAGCTTGTCTTTTCAGGCTTCTAACAGTGCCTTTTGAGGAATAACAGTTAATGAAGTTATTAATTTTTAAAAAATGAATAGTACTTTTGGTGTCTAGTTGGAGAATTCTTTGTTATTCCCAGGTCACAGATATTTCCGCCTATGCTTTCTTTTAAAAGTTTGATAGTTTTACATTTTATATTTAGATCTATAATTTATTTTTAGTTAACTTTTGAGAGTAATGTATGAGGTTTAGTTTGAGATTCTTTGTGTGTCTGTGTGAGCATAGATGTCCATTGTTCCAATACCATTTGTTGAAAAACTATCCTTTCTTCATTGAATTGCCCTTGTACTTTTGCCAAAATTCAGCTGGGCATATTTATATGGGTCTATTTCTGGGTTATATGTTCTGTTTCATTAATCTGTGTGTCATCTTTTTACTAATACCATAATTTCTTGAAGAGTTATATAGCTTTAGAGTTGGGGATTGCAAACCACAGTCCATAGGCCAAATCCAGTTTATACATATTTAGTAAATAAAGTTTTATTGGAACACATTCATTTTATATTATCTATGGCTGCTTTCTTGCTATGATGACAGAGTTAAATAGTTGTGACAGAGACTATGTGGCCTGCAAAACCAAAATTATTTACTAAATGGCCCTTCATAGAAAATGTTTGTCAACCCCTGCTAAGATCATGTATGATTCTTCCAACATTATTTCCCTTTTTCAAAATGGTTTTTGTTATTCCAGTTTCTTTGTCTTTTTATATAAATTTTAGAATCAGCTTATTGATATATTTTACAAAATCCTTCTGAGATTTTGATCAGAATTGTATTAAATCTTTAATCAGAAATCTTTAGATCAGTCAGGAGACAGCTGACATCTTTACTATATTGTGTCTTCAAACCATAAACATGTTACATCTCTATTTATTCATTTTCTAAGGCAGAGTCTCACTCTGTTGCTCAGGCTGGTGTGCAGTGTTAGGATCTTGGCTCACTGCAACCTGCACCCCTTGGATTCAAGTGATTCTCCTACCTCAGCCTCCTGAGTAGCTGGGATTACAGGTGCCTGCCACAATGCTCAGCTAATTTTTTTATTTGTAGTAGAGACACGGTTTTGCTATGTTTGCAGTCTGGTCTTGAACTCCTGACCTCAGGTGTTCACCTTGGCCTCCCAAAGTGCTAAGGTTATAGGTGTGAGCCACTGTGCCTGGCCTATTTATTTTAATCTTTTTTGATTTCTTTAAACAGTGTTTTATAGTTTTTAGCATACAGATGGAGGGTTTGGTTAGACTTATAACAGTATTTCATTTATTTTGGAGCTACTATAATTTAAAAAGCTTTTTTTGGTTTTCAGTTCTACATTACTAGTATGTAGAAATACAATTGACTTTTGTGTGTTGATCATATATCTTATGACGTTGGTAAATGCACTTATTAGATGTAGGAACCATTTTGTATGCAAAAAGCGATGGTTTCATTTATTCTTTTCCAAGCTGTGTTTTTTTCTTGTTTTTCTTGCCTTATTACACTGTCTAAGATTTTTAGTAGAGTGTTCCATAAGAGTGGTAACAGTGGACATCTTTACCATGTTTCCAATCTTAGGAGGAAAACATTCAGTTTTCCTCTATCAAGTAGGGTGATACCTGTAGTATTTCTTTTTTTCCTTCTTGGTAAAAACTCTCTATAGTTTGAGGAAGTTCCCTTCTGCTTCTGCTTTACTGAGTTTTTTTTTTTTTTTTTAATCATAAATGGGTATGGAATTTTGTCAGACATTCTTTTTCTTCCAGTTGATCTGATGAGTTGATTTTTCTTACTTATACTGTTAAAATCATGGATTACATTAATTTTTGAATACTGAATAAGCTGTGCATTCCCAAGATAAATCCCACTTAATTCTGGCATATTATTATTTTTATACATTACTAAATTCTTAATCCCTGTTGAGGATTTTTGCTTCTATATTTATGAGAGATACCAGTCTACCGTTTTTTGTACTGTTCTTTTTTTCCTTTATAAAAAAATTCCATGGGACTGCTTGATATCTTTTATTGTACTGTCCTTGGGCAGTAGCCTCAGAAAATGAGCTGGGGTGTGCTGCATCATCTTACATTTTCTGAAAGAGATGTGCACAAATTACAGTATATTTTTCTCTCAATGAATTCACCAGTGAAACCATCAGGACCTGGCGATAGCTTTCATAGAGGTTTTAATGTTTGTTTTAAACTACAAGTTTAATTCTTTTAATAGCCTTAAGATTCAGGTGATCTCTTTCATTTTCAGTCAGTTGGTAGTTTGTGATTTTCAAGAAATTATTTCATTCAAACTATGTTGTTAAACTTATTTACATACAGTAGTTCATGACAATATTTATTATCTAGTTAATGTCTGTAAGGTTTAATATGATATACCTTCTTTGATTCCTGATATCAGTAACTTATGTCTTCTTTTTCTCTTTGTCTTTGAGTAGTTTTATCAATTTTGTTGATCTTTTCAAACAGGCTTTTGACTTTATTATTTTTCTGCTTTCAACTTCAATGATATATGCTCTTTATTATTTCCTTTCTTCTGCTTCCTTTGAGTTTACTTTGCTTTTCTTCCTCTAGTCTCTTTAGATGGAAGCTTAGATTGTTTACTGAGACATTTCTTTTTTTAATATAAGCATTTAATGGAATAATATTCTTATTTTAATCTATGATTTTTTTCAGTTTATAATATTTTCTGATTTCCTTGAGACTGCCTCTTTGACCTAGGGATTATTTAGAAGTGTGTTAATTTCTAAGTGTTTGGAGAATTTTCTGTATTTCTTTCTGTTATTATTTCTAATTTATTCCTGTTATGGTCAGAGGACATACTTTGTTTATTCTTTTGGGTTTGTTTGATGACCCATGAATGTCTTGGTGAATGTTCATGTGTACTGCAAAAGGATGTGTGTTTTATTGTTGTTGGGTGGAATGATTTTCTGTCTACTAGTTTTTCTGTTGTTGAGAAAGGACTGATGTAGTCTCCAGCTGCAAATTTGGATTTGTCTGTTCGTATTTTGATCTCTTATCATTTTTTGCCTAATTATGTATTATGACATTCTCTTGTCAGATGCAAACACATTAGCATTGTTATACTTTCTTGATAAACTGACTTTTTCATCATCTTTTCCTTCATTCCTGGTATCTTAAAGTTTCCCTCTGGTACCATTTCCCTTGTATCTCAAGAACTTCATTTGGTAATTCTTTAATAACAAATCTACTGGAAACATATTCGCTTGGTTATCCTTCACCAAATTTGAAGTTTTCAGCTATTCTCTGTATATATATATTTTCAACATTGCATTCTTTATCCTCTCCTTCTAGGACTCTGATGTTATGAATGTTAGACCTTTTTGCATTTCCTCACAGGTCCCTTGGTTGATTTTTTAAAAAAGAGATGTTTTCTTTATTCATTGAATATTTTCAATTGATCTGTCTTCAAGTTCACTGACTTTCCTTTGTTATCTCTATCCTGCTATTATCAAACTTATCAATGAGT